ACTCGCTAGAGAACTTTTTCTTAGGAGCGTCGATCATCGGCAAGAGATATCATCTGAATGCGTATGTCCCCTCGAAAATATTTGTATAGCAGAAGTGATGTTTCAGCAATATTTTTTGTAGTTGATCAGCTGCAATACTACCCTTGGGTTGTGAGGGCCTATTCACCCAAGCAACTGTTACATTGTTGCTGGTGGAAGCACTAGCAACTCCCACAGCAATCGAGTATTTTTGTATTGGTTATAAATTTCCCTAAACCTCTATAGCTTTTTTGTGGAATGTATTGTGGGAGAGCAGTTGTTTCAACAAACACATCTTGTACACCAAATAAAATATTAACAGTCAAGTTAAATATGCCAATATGTCCAGTAGCTTTCTCTCGAGGAGCGGCCGTTCAGATTTGAGTTAAAGTTTCATAAGGATTGTAATCGAATTTTAAATATTCAGGGGTTATCCCGATGGTAGACACATTTTCTGTCCTGAAAAGCTTTTGTTACAGCCGTTCACCAGAAAAAAAGTTTGCTATTTACACAAGGACTATTCCAGACTCCAAGGTCTGATTTAAATAATAGGTGATAACGAAAGATATATTGAAGATTTCGAAATGAGCCTAATGTTTGAAATTTTGCTACTATAATATTGACATACAAATTAAAGCGCTAAGTAGGTATGGCGACGTCGAAATTAATTTCAAGGGTCGATATTCAGTTAGAATCATATTCCTAGGGTCAAGGGTTGTATAGGTTTGAACACCTCATGTTACGTTTCAGACGAGACCCTTCACAGAGGACTTGATGCTCCCTATTCAACACAACAGTCCTCTACTGCGTCAATCAGTGGACTACACAGACGGAAATGAATTTCTACGCCCTGTCACGCAGTCTGATCAATAATTAGTTTGCATTTTCGGACCACTTAGAATTATATCAAACACAAATCAAAATTAACAGCAAATTACCGATACATCAAATTAATAATAGCAAGTCATTTTTCTCTTCACCTGATGCTTCCATTTATTTGTCTTTTTCCTCTGTAAATGTCCAGCACGGGTACTATGCATCTTGAAAAGTGACATTTTGTCGATTTTTTTTACATTGTATTCGTTTTTTGTGACATTATGCAGGTGTTTCTACAAGATGTTGACTTAGCACTAGGCGATGGACACGTTGCGAACTCGTTAGTTGTACGTGTTGCCTAAACGTCCTTATGCGATCTTGCTATTCAACCAACTTTCTTCTCAGAAATAAAAACTACAGACTACTCGGCTTCATAAAACATATGTAACCAACAATGCGTGTATTTGAGTAATTCCTCCATAGATGGACGCTCACAGCGGACATAACGAGCACACGGGGAAGGAACTATTTGCACCCTAATAACTACTTTTCAGGTTTTTAGGACCTGACAGATTGAGCAAACTGTCCTGCTGTTTTTAGATCAAAGGTCCCACGGACCGCCCTGACGAGTGGTGTCGACTAGCAGGTTTGAGCATTGTCATTTCGAAGAAAAAATGAGGCTACAAAAGAGCTCTTCTGTGTTCTGATGGAACAAACATGTTGTTCATGCCCCCTTAATAATATTTGAAAGCTATGCCTTTATGTGCATTACCATGCACAATACTCAGGTTTTATGACCTAACAGCATTGCTGCAATTTATGGTTTTATGTGTAATTCGCACTGCTCACTTTTCCACTATCTACTTTGTTTAAACTACCGCATAGCATGCAACAATATAGAGCAAGTAGCATGCGTGTGGTTGCGATTAGATAGAGATCAGGGGTGGATCCAGGGGTGTGCCACCTTCATTGACATTTCAACGAATTATATAAGTATACCACTAACGCTATATAGGACTTCTGGGGTGCATGCTACCTAAGCCAGTAATAATAGAAATGCAGTGGAAATAGGTTGTCAGAAGAACCCGAAACTTCAGCAGAAAATCCTATTTTTGGTATGTTCAAAACGCTACAGTATTGAAGTAATATAACTTGTGTTTGTTAAACCAGATTCTGCGATAGAGAATTAATTCTTTGTGTATATAAACGGGTATAAATCCAGAGTCGTTATTCCATTATCGGGAGTTCCTCAGGGTAGCCACTTAGGTATATTATTCTTCTTAATTTATATAAATGCCAGTTTCTTTTTTACGCAGATGACTTAAAGATGTATCTTATAGTTGAAAGCCTTCAAGGCTACGTCAAAATACTATCTCATATCGACAAACTCGGCGATTATTGTTAGAGAAATAACCTGCCACTTAACACAACAAAATGTGTTTCAATCAAATTCACGAAAAAGAGAAACCTATTTCAGTATGAGCAGCAGACAATATTAATTATTCAGTAAGCAATATTCGGGACCTTGGTGTTACACTAGATACGAAATGGAGCTTTAATAGCCATATACAGGGTGTTCCTTAATGGTATACGAATATTTAAGCGTGTAAATCGACATGAAAAATTGATGTTAGTTTGCTTTATAAACTATGATCCAAAAATGTTTCCTTACAAAAACTCGGGATGTTGATGTTTTAGGAAAAAAATGGAAAATAATTAATATTTCCAGAACCGCTTCAGATAGTTTACTGATATTTAGTAAGTAGTGAGTGTTAATAAAGTTGCATATTTTTTCATGCAAAAATAATTTTTAGCTTCAACAGTGGCGTGCGTACGGGTATTGACTTCGATATTTTTTAAGAAAAAAATGGTACGCTAACGGTTTTTTGCTAAATAAAAATCATTTTTGAATTTCCCGTTCAATTTAAAACAGATGATCTCTCTGGAATGGTTTTCATTCGATGCGCCATTTTTGAGCAAAAAAATAAAAACCGTTCTATTGTCTAACTTGCAAAATTATTATTAATTTAATTGGAAAAATTAAACACTAGGGCTAATGAACCACAATATGTGACAACATAAACATAACACTAAACCAACGAAATGATAACAAAAATTGTTGAAAATGGCCCGCTTCACTTAGTATGCATGCTTCCGCCGTCCTTCTCATGGAATTGCGCACTCGTTGAAATACCCCTGGAGTGTTTTTTATTCTATCACAAGCTGCAAATATTCTTTCTTTTAATTCCCCTACAGTGTTAATTGAATTTTTGTAGACTAGTGCCATAAGATAGCCCCACAAAAATTAATCTAAACTGTTGAGGTCTGGGGACCTTGGTGGCCATTCTTGGGGCCCACTGCGGCCAATCCAACGATTTGGATAAACAGTAATTACGAACCGCTAAACTGAAATGCGTTGGTGTATCATCAAATCATCATGCATGTACCACATATTTTTCTTATTAGTAACGGAACATCATCAAGTAGCAAAGGCAACTGTTGTTGAAGAAAATTGAGATAAGTCTGTCCGTCAAGTCGTCCCGGCAAGAAGAATGGGCCAATAAAGTGGTTGCCAATAGTTCCTGCTCATACGTTAACCGAAAATTGGTGTTGGAAATAGGTTTCGGTTACGGCATAGGGATTTTCTTCTGCCCACAAATGATCAGTGTGGAAGTTCTGAATGGCAATTCGAGAAAAATAAGCTTCGTCCCTAAACAGAATCATTGATTCAAATTGCGGATTGTGTATAATTATTTGCAGATACCACTGACAAAAGGTCACACGCCTTGGAAAATCAATGGAAAGTAATGGCTGTACTCTTAAAATATGGTAAGGATATAACAAAAAATCCATTACAATTCTCCAAACAATTTGATGGCAAATATTTAAGTATCTAGCGATCTTCTTCGTACTCGTTTCAGGATGTTCTTCGACGTCGTGCAGCACTGCTTCCTCAATTTCAGGTGTTCTCACACTTAGAGGTCTACCTTCAGATGTTCCTTTGCGGACAAAACCAGTTCCAACAAGACGACGATGAATATTAGACTATCTGGCAAAGCACGATCGGGATATCTCTGGTGATAAATCTGTCTGGCTTGCTCACCATTACCGTCGGCAAGGCCAAATACGTAATGCATTTCCGCCATTTCTGCATTTGAATAATTCACCATTATTAACAAGACTGTAAAAACTAAATAATAGAAAAGATGTCACAGCGAACAGATTTGAATAACAGAGACTTGTCAGATGTCACAAGCCAGTGACATATTCAAGAGCAACTAGATGTTTATTGCTAAATTGCATTCTTCAATTATTGCATTAATTTTCTCGGACAATAGAATGGTTTTTATTTTTTTACTCAAAAATAAAAAATAATCACGATTATAGCTTGGTATTGGAATATTTCAAAATCTTACCTCTGGCTAAGAGAAGGATATTATCTGATTTATGGTTTCTTCACAGAATCTTAAACAATAAATTTGACTGCTTTTATCTTTCATCGAAAATCAATATACATGTACTGATAAGAGTGTATCCTAGACACTGTACATACTTCAATATTCCGTTTTGTAGAATTAATTTTGGTTTAAACTCTCCACTGGTACGAATGTAAAGAAATCTGAACAACTATGGCAAATTTGCTGACATTTTGGCTTGTGAAATAACAACGCTTAAATACTTAATACAAAACAGAATGCTGGTCACTCCCTTGTAGCTACGTCCCTATTCTTTGTAAAAATTGTTTTCCTCACTGAACTCAATGTATATACAATGTCATATATAATGTTTGAGGAAAGTTCAGTATTATTTAATATTTTGTTTCACCTGATAAATGTATCCGAGCCCGTCTGCTCGCGCTTTTCTTAATGGTGTTGATAAAAACATTGGATGCCTGACCAGTTTTTGTTTTGGTTTTTGCGGCGGTCGATCATCAACGCTCTGTTGACGTTGATGAGATCTGAATTGTGTGCAACAAGAGTAATGTTTTTGAGCGATAATTTAGTTTAATTTCGACCTCAAGTTAGTTAACATCGGAAGTGGGATATACCGTGCGTGCCAAAGACTGTGACATTTTCTTTATTTTGGATTGGTTTTACCGACAATAAATACAAAAAGAAAACACTGTTGTGGATGGACAATGATAGTGCTTTAATTTTCACTGAAAAATGCCGGAAACCGAAAATATTGTGGGAGTTGCTGGGTCTAGTGTAGTGTTAACCGGAAGTGACGAACAAAATGGTAGCGATTCATTGTCATCGGTATTGCTGAGGATGCAAGGCACTCTACAGAGATTAATGTCCGAGGTTGCTATTTTGAAGGCCACTGCTAGTACATCCAAGGAGACACCAACCTATTGTAAGTTCTTTCCATTTACCATTTACATTCACTTTGAGTTGTTTTGATCCAAATAAAAGTCAATTTTCATCACAAAAGTGGACAGATGAAGTAAACTATGTCCGGAAGAAATAAAATTATTGTTTGATAATATTAAAAGCAGGGGGGGCTCTTCTTGGAGAGGGTCGCCGATTTTGCGATGGGTGGGCTCCAAGAGAATTTGGTCTGAATTCGAGGATACCTTCCGAAAAGCTTATGAAGTTAATTGTTCTCAGTTTCAAACATATAGCGAATATGCCCGAATTAAAATAAAGGACCTTCATCGCTTTCATGATGATTTATCGTGGGAAAAAGTTTTGTCTATCTTTGTTGAAGGTATTAATTCAGAGTCTGTCCACAACACAGTCCGACTTCAAGAACCTAAGAATGAATCTGATTTAACCCCTAACCCTTAACTACCATGGTCAAGAACAGTAATGTTTATACTATGGCAGGGTCAAATTTGACCTCATTGTTGTTTTTCACATAAAAAATCTAATTTTGTAGCTTGTTTTTATGTTGAGTCATTTTGTTTTCAACTAGTTTTACAATTTTATAGAATGAAACGAATATGTTCAGTTATAACTTTATTGAAAAAAATACTTCGGTATCCCGTGAGATTAACAAAGATGCGCAATTTCTAAAATTATAAGAAGAATTATAAAAATTTTCAGTTTTCTTGTATTCACTGGTGAATTTTAGGTATCATAGCTGCTACCTAAAATAAAAAAATTGATTTAGACTTCGTATCTAAAAAATGCATGTTTTTGACCTGACATTAATCGCACGATGAGATTTCTTTCTTTTGATTTTTAGAATATGGCCATATTTTACACCTTCCCCTCCCCTGGTTCCTGAAGTCCGGAAACTTTAAAAATGACACTATTAAGTTCTCTCGGTAAACATGCTGAGCTCTACGAGGCAAATGGTCCTTAATAAGTTCTTGACCTAAAGTGGTTAGGAATAATTTTTTGCGCCTGCGCTTTAAGTTCTTTCTATGTCAGAGCGTGTGTATTGCCACTTCACCCCGCCATTTCAAATTACTCGCTACTCTTACTAGAAACACTTATACCATAAACGGGTCAAATTTGACCATACATGTGCCTAACTCTGCAGTGGTAACATATAAATTAATGGAATTTTTGTGGATCGATAAATCACCTACCGGTCAAAGATTAGCAGAACGCGTGCGGCGCACCATAAATATTTTGGTAGCAAAACTTGGCATACAAAACGTGGAGGGTCAAATTTGACAACGCCATGATACTTAAGGGTTAGCCGCCGTAGTGCGGTTGCTGAGACCGCAGCACATATTTATTTCTATATATCTTACCCTTACTTCAATATAATCAGGCAATATCCTCGATACCTTCAAGTGACCACGTGGTCGGTTTGTCGCTAAACGTTGAAGGTGGCACTTTTATCGGTTTACAATAGAAAAACGACAAAAGTTACAGAGTGGTCACAGTGACCGGTCTACGGTGTCTATGTTACTATATCTATTAAGGTCTTTGTATAGCCAGTGTGACTTCCTCTCAACTTTGTGGATTATTTTGGTAGTACAGATCCTCAAGAATGAATCGGAATTATACTACCGGGTTTCCCAATAAGATGATAGGATTTTGACACCATACTGCCGTCATCTTAGTTCCTTTTTTGCTGACAGCTGAGCTATTTTGTGTTCAGCAAGGCAGTTTGGAAATCGTCTAAATATTCTATCAAAGTTCGAGAAGTGTTGCATATCATGCTATGGTCGTCATGGTGCACCGTCTCAGCTCGATAGACGACGCATAATGCAAAAACTGGAAAGTAAATATTCTTTGCACGATAGTAAACCACTAACCAGAATGCGATCTGGCCGTAGTTACTTGATATTTGTGATGTAAGTGCACATGTTCTTCATCAGTCGTTCAAAAATACCGCAAAGATCGAAAAAGCAGACTTTCTAAAAATTCTTGCTGATCAGTTGATAAGACCCCATCTTATGAGGCGTGCAAAAAATACAAAACTAAAGCGTGATATTAGGACTACAATTCGTAGAATTCTATAATTCCCTGACCGTGCTGAAAAGAATGTTCCGGAGGAAAAATTATAAAAAAGAAATAAAAACATGTCACACTTGTCCACCAAGAATTAAAAGAAAAACTTTTTGTTTGTGTAAAATGTGCCATAAGCCTACTTGGTTGGAGCATTCTTCAAAAATTTGTAAAAATTTTAAACACAATCTTTGACTTTTTCACACCTTCTAGTTTTTTATTCCTTTCAAGTTATCACTCAAACTAAGTTATGTCTCAGTGGACAGTTTATTTATATTTTAGAATCTGTTACTAATTCCGCATAGAATACTGTGTTTTGTTTTATAAAAATACCCCCTTTGAGCATCACGAAAATATTCGGAAGGACATTATAAAAAAACTTACTACTCAGCCCGTTCTAAAGATATTCAATTATAAATTGCCTCCAGAACTTCATACAAGTTTACCCAATAGCGAGTAGATCGTATCTACTATAGGTCCAGGATTGGCGGCACCTAGCGGCCACAATGGTGACCTGGCTCGCAATGGGAACTAGAATACAGTAAGCTTAATGTTTTCACTTTCTCGTGTAATTTAATGCGGTTACTTGATTCGTGAAATAATATTATATAATATAATACAAAAAGTACGTATCAAGAGCTATTATAATCAGTCACCAAACATTGTCCACAAAGCTCCGAAGAAATGAGGCTACCGTATACGGACACCGCTGTAATCGCAGGATTTTTTTTTCATGAAAAGCTCAAAAAGTGCAATAATGGTTTTGACAAAATCTATGTCTATTTAGTGCCATTGCTTTACAATCAAAAATGTACTAGATGTTGTTTCTAAGGCGTGGGAAGTATAGAGTCAATCTACTTGACGCCATTTTTTTTAATTCAAGGATCTACAAAATGTCGTCTTATGAACAGATTTTTGCTAAAAATAAAAAAACCTTATCCATAATTTCCTGATGCTCCAAAATTTTCTACCTCGTCACTTAGCATACGTTTGGAAGCACCAATACCGTATGCGGTCTATCGATTCATATGTTGTCAACTCTGTCGACTGTGGTTAAAATATCTGGAGAGAGGTCGACCTTATTTCGTTACTTAGATTTTTTATGACCCCTAAATTCCCCAATTTTTATATGCGACTACCCCGCGTAAACCATCTGCTCTGGTTTTCCAGTTGGATGATTTGAATATCCAAGCTTTAAGAAATACAACTGGCAAGCTTGTCTTCAATCATTATACTTCCCACACGAATGGATCGGGGAGTATTGTGATCACGAATCTGGTTCTAGCATAGACAAAATATTAAGTTTATACAGGATGTAAACGTAGTAGGGTAATAGGGGGATCAAAACAAGTCAAAAAGTCCACGGTCCAATAAATTTTTGTCTAAATGGCTTTATAGTTTACAACTTTAAGTGATTTATGTCGACCAAAATCACCACAATCTTACTAGTTTTTCTAAGTTTTTCATCACTCTTATCGAACCGGCAATCGATCGCAAACGGTAACAGTGGTTAGTATGTTGTTTTGTTTTTGTTCGCGTACGTCGTCGTGTTTAATACAATGTTTTCGAATCAAGAGTTCGTCGGCATGTGGTTAGTTTACGGTGAAGCTCGTCAGGATTCAAATCCTGCAGCTCAAATTTATCGCGACAGATTTCGCCAACGGGTACACCCAGATAGGAGGACATTTTTGCAAGTGTACCAAAGACTACGAGATACAGGATATGTTGAGCCCACTAAGATTCGCACTCGTGAAAGACAGGTTACTGTAGAGCGGGAGGAACAAATTTTAAATATCGGGAATTAGGCCGCCGCGTAGGACTATCGCATACCATAGTCTATAGAATCTTACGGGAAAATTTGCTTATGTACAACGAGTGCAGGTCTTGTTACCAGAAGACTATTCTCGCAGACTAACATTCTGTCAGTGGTTTTTGCACAAAAACATTGAAAATCCGGATTTATTTAAAAAGATTCTAGGGATGGCATAAGAAAATCCTCATACCATGCGTGAAGGTCATTTCCAACAACGCTTTAAAATAAATATTTGGGCGAGTATTCTTGAGGATCAGCTTTCTACCAGAAGTTTTGGAACAGTCCTTAGACAACATGCCATTACAACGGAGACATAATTTGTGGTTTCTTCATGACGGGGCACCGCCACACATTTTTAGAGGCGTCATTCAGTATTTCAATGAACATTATCCAAATCGCTGCATCGGTCGAAATGCTCCTGATCCTCGAAAATGGCCAGCAAGATCTCCTGACCTCAATCCGATGGATTTCTGATATTGGGGAGAACTTAAAGGGATGGGACTGGTCCAATAACAACTGAAGAACGACTTCGCGATCAAATTTTTAATGCGGCTGAAATAATAAATGGACAACTTCGAGGACCTAGGGTAAAAAGGAAACTGGATTCGTCGTAATGAAGCTTGTGTGGAAAGTGGAGGATGATATTTTGAACACCTTCTTTAAATACAAAAAAAGTGTAGTGTGGGTTTTAAAAAGAAAAACAATGTATGTATCAAAATTGTGTTCCCTATTTATAAGTGGATTTTTTAATACGTTCAATAAACTTTCACACACCAGGTGAAGCGCTGAGACAGTTAGTGGTAAGTCCTTTTTTTAATTGTTTGCATTTTACGAGTACATTATCAAATAATGAAATAATACCCAAGAGGCAAAAATAACAAACTCCATCTTTATTTACACTGCGTTCCGTCGTAATTTGCGTCTGGCGTTGCGGCGTTGTCAGATTTTATTTTACTTTAAAGTCGCTTTTCTCTAAAAAATGCCGGTTTGATCCCCATGTTATATGAAACTTTTTGCATCTTTTAACCCCATCTAGCACGAATTTAAATAATGGCTTTCATAACGTTTACACCCTGTATACTGAGTGACAAAGAAGAGGTGAACATCTACATATGTTTATCCGATTTTAATAATTTTTGGCACGTACGTTGGCCCTTGCTAGTAAAATGATTGCATTTTC